CACACACACACACACACACACACACACACACACACACACACAAATGCAGACGAATGTAACAGGATAAAGTTCACCTAACTTGAACTACTCATAAAGCCACATTGATGATTTGCTTCACCACAGGAGACAAATGTTTTTTATTCACCCCCTGGCTCACACAGATTAGAAGTGAACAGGAGGTGAAGGTTCACCACTGTCACATACGCATATGTGTGAGTGTGCCTTTAGAAGGGTGTGTGTGGGGGTGGGGGGGTCCAAACGCTCAGGCAGAACCAGATAAATACATTGATGGTTCAGTTAATATCAGTCAATGATGACAGGAATCATTTCTGCTGTAGATTGACAGCGTTGATGACAGGACAGAATGTGAGTTATTTAAACACCTCCCTGTAGAGACAGAGTTATTCCAGAGGACAATGTTGCTACAAGTCTTCTTAAACTGAAGCCAAATAAAACCACATGGCCCACACCGCCTTAAACTGTTTAAACTGTACACACACCCTTTCTGTGAAGCTGCCTAAGTCAACAAAACATATGAAGACTGGATGGACAAACTCCCATGACTCCAGCAGTCATCTGGGAAAAGGAAGGAGTGTGTGTGTGCATGGTAATAAAGTGTAGTGTAAATCACTTTGAGTGCTCATCCAGACTAGAGAAGCTCTATATAAATACACATTTACCATTTACTAGGATGCACCGCCCATCAGGATGGTGTATGTGTGTACCAGTATGTTTCAATAGATGTGAATGGCAGTAACTTGTGTCATTCATTGAGGCCATGAATATCCAGTACATCCCTTCAGTAATTGTTGATGATGATGACACAAATCCTCACACAGCCTAGGTAAATGTAAGTCTTCACGGTCACATTGACACACACGTTCATACAGTGCACTTCTCAATAATACATCCCGACTCACACTGCTGGCTCAGCCATCAGGGCACGTTGACGTTTACTCTGTCACAGTCTCTGTCAGAGAGGCTGTGGGATAAAGGAATCTTCAGTGTCCATGTCTGACTCAGCTCATCTGTCATCCTGCTCTCACCTCTGCTATGATCGCCTGTATCGCCTCGTTCACAGAATGATGATGATGACCCTCTGACCTTTCCTCTAGCAAACCCATCAGGCCAAAGTTTCCACTGGTACGTCACAGTCTTGCTCCTGCTCTTTGTTTTGGGTGCCCTCTCCTGCATGTTTTCAAGTTGCCCAGACAACATCAGCTCTCACTGTTCTCATCTTTTTTTCCCTGTTTGCTCTGTGTGCCCTGAAGCTGTTTGAACCTGTGCTGCAATGGTTTTCATGCCTGAGCGTCCCAGCTTTGCTTTGTTTTAAGGTTTTGGCTTAATTTCACTTAATCAGCCCCTCACTGAATTCACTAGGTTGAGCTCAACACACAATGACTGATGTGTGATTACCATCAAAACCACATGTTATTCTGGTTTAACACAAATAATTACATCATTGTATGTTCAAATGATTAGCTCTGCAACACAAGTTGAGGCAGATGTGCTGATCACTATGTAGGTGTGTTATGAATATTCTGCCCACTCCACCCACTATCTGGACATGATGTACAGTAATATAGTCTTTGCAATACAAAGCTGAAGAAGAAACTAATTGTCTGCAGCTTCAAAATATAGTATGTTACTATGAAATCACAATGCTAACAATTCAATTAAAATACAGCAATAGAATAAAATGGAACAATATAACAATACTATGAGAAATAAAATGAAATAAAATGTCGATTGGTACTGGTTGATTTCAAATTGATTTGAAACTATCATTACTAAAATATTATTAATATATTATATTGGGAATGTTTGATTAGCTTCTATTTGATTGTTTTTTGGTTTTACTTCTTGTTGCAACTTTGTAACATTGTTGAAAAAAGTGCTACATAAAGGAAGTTTATCATTATGCTTATTACACATGCTGCTGCATTCTGAATGATATGTAGCTTGTTATAGATTCCTTAGGTAGACCAGAAAAGAGAGCATTACAGTAATCAAGCCTGCTGGTGATGAAAGTCTCTGACTGTGAGAGAAACGACTTGTTTCAAAAGTAATAACAGACAGTTTCATTGAAATTACTGATGTGTGAGTTAAAAATCGAATCATGGTCCAATCATTTTTCTTATCATTCCATGTTTTTGATGATATTTCCCAGTGGCTGCATGCAGATACTGAACAACACCAAGTACCAGCTGCATTGCTTAGATGTGCAATATAACCTCCTCACATATTCTACCATCACTGACATTACCTCTCTCATTACAAATGTCATTACTGCTGCCTTCATCTCTGTCATTTTCTCATGCACAAATACAGTTAACATTGATACACCTCTCAATTTATGTTAGACACCGTCTTTTCTCATGAATGTTGTAAATATTGTTATTTTGTTGCTGTGCTAAGCTGCACGCTGCATTTATTGCACTTGTGTCTATCTGGGAGAAGGATCCCTCACACGTGGCTCTCTCTGAGGTTTCTCCGTTTCTTTCCCCTGTTAATAAAGATAAATACAATTTGATTGATTGACAATACTCACACACTGCTTTCATGTTTGATTCAGTAGAATCACAAAGTAGCAGGTAGAGGTTAATACATTGGTCTGGATGGACTTCAGTTCTGTTAAATTGTGAAATTATTTAATTATCAGTAGCTGCTGCTGGAGAGAAACGCCACACAGCTCATTATTTCATAAGTACACCCACCTTTTCAGAGGTGTTACCGTTTTATACATGGTCTATGGGTGTTACACTAGATTTATACATTGGGAAACTTGAGGCCTACAATCTCACCACGATGTTCTGTTTCAGATATGTCAAATTTTAATTCACCGAAACAAATGTTTTTTATTTTGGAATGTATAATTCAGCTCAATATAAAGGAAGTGATTCTATGAATGTTGTTGCCATGACAAAGATTAGCACCCATCACTGGTCTGTTTCAAACTGATATGATGACTAAGCTATCAAAACGATCAGGCGGTGATTTGGACCCGTGGTTTGACCCAGTCGTTGACCACTATTGAGGTTTATCCAGTGATGTCGAATATGTCCAACTCGGTCCACAGACTGAAGACACTACAACCAGCCCCCCCACTGATGGCTACAGAGTACTGCTCGTCTGTTTATTCAAATTGTATTAATATTGGACTGCACTGCACTGGACTCCCCTGGGCCAATAGTTAGTTAGTCAGACAGTTTGATATTTTGTGGGTGGGGCATTATTATGAGCTGTTGTCCTGTGTGTGATTCCTGGACTCTCCTATGAAAGTCACAGGACTCGTGCGGGCCAACTAATAACAGCTTGTGATTAGTGTCTATGGCTACACCCAATAAGCGTGAGGCGCAGAGCAGACCCACGTCAGCTGGACTCACTATCTCCTTTTTGTGGGCGGTAAAACAATACTAATGGATCTGTAATGAAGTGAAGTGAATTAAAGTAATGTCCGCTTTGCATTCATGTGAGTCACTACTGAGTCTTTGCTATTGTTAGAGAGGACTGCGGTGATAAGAGCACAAAAGATCTGAACACACCTTTGATAGTTTCAAGCTTTTATCGCAAAATATAACAAAGCAAAGCAAACAAAAACACTCCATTGACTCCAATTATTAATAATTGTTTCCTATTGTTTGCTTTGCTTTGTGTTTTGTGCAACACTTTGTAACTGTGTTTTGGAAGGTGACATTTAAATACAGTTTATAACTTGTTATAAATAAAGCAAATTATTATTATTATTACTGGTCAGTGTGATTGTGTTTCTTATAGTGTGAGGTCTGATATTATAATATAATATAAGATCTAATATTAATATAAGACATACAGGGGGGTTGTTCTGTGTGTTCAGTGTGTGTGTTTTGTATGTGTTGATTACAAAAAAATTATAATATTAATATAAGACACACAGTTATGTTTCGGGACATATTTTGGAGGAACCAGACAATGTTAAATATAAATACAATTTCTGTTAAATGATAATCAAACCAATAATGTTGGATTTAATCACATTAATTCCAAAAAAAAAAAGAATAAATTAAGTATTTGAAACTGCATTTATTATGTAGTGAAGTAAAAAAAAAACATTATCACAAAGATATGGTATTTGAATAACTTGTTATATTTTGTTAGACCATATTTCTGCTTCATTGCTGTATTATGAATGTATACAGAAAGTTATGATCCACAACACATCAGAAGGAAGAAGAGAAAAAACTCCAATACAGCGTGTTGGTCCAGCCATCTTTGAGCTTCAGGAGCCAATTTGTGTGCATCACAGACGTGAGGTGAACATCTCTTTTCACGCTCAGTAACCTTCATATCAGGTGTGAGTGAAGGAATGGAACGTGGCCAAAGGGCAGGACCAGCCGTCATGAATCACCATGTAAATGTAAAGCTACGAAGACACCACTCCCTCACCTGCCGCACTAAGACCTCACCCCTGGTATAAAGACTTGGACCTCCCTCCCATCAGCCTCAGTGCTCCCGTGGAGAAGCAAATGGCTATGACGAACCAGTGGTTGCTATGGCTGACCCTGTCTGCCATGGCAGCTGCTTGGCACAGCGGTACATACATTACACTCCATTAGGCAGCCTGGTGAAATATTGCTGCAGCAAAGTATTCTAATGGTGTTTTGTATTTGATCATTAATTACTGAACAAATATTTTTATTTCTCTCAACAGAGGCAAAGTCTGCGGTGAACATGTTCTCTTCCATGTCCCAGATGTCTGGAAAAATAAAAGGTGAGCATGTTGGTTGTTGTAGTAACTGTAAACTATTTCCTCTTTTAGACACATTGTGAGCATTCCATCACAATAGCTCAAAGATCTTACTTAGTCTTTGTGGCATCATGTCCTGATTTCTCATTATAGGTGTGAGTCCCATCCACAATGGCCAGGTTTGCAGTACATGGGGAAAATTCCATTTCAAGACCTTTGATGGGGACGTTTTCCAGTTGCACTCCACCTGCAACTACGTCCTGACCTCTTCATGCAGCAGCAGCTACAGCGACTTCAACATCCAGATAAGAAGAGAGGAGTTTGCTGGTCATCCCATCATCAAGGAAATCCTAATGAAGCTGGACGGCTCAGTGGTGGAGCTCTCAAACGGTTCAGTGGTCGTTGATGGCAAAGAGTGAGTTAAAAAGCCCTGAACACTGTGTCTGCATAAATGAATGCATCAGACTGGATGGTACATATTTAATGATATATCATATTCTATTCAATAGAAAAAAAACACAGTATGTTATCTGATAAATCTGTTTAGTAGATTAGTAAATCATATAATTATTTGAAATATTGGAGCAAAACTATGCTTTTTGATATTTGATTCAATTGTTGAACAGCCTAAATTTGTAATAATTAGAACAGCACAGTCAGAACCTAAAGACATTAGGGAGAAAAGTACATTTCTATAAAAAATGATGGATGTCTGCTACTGCTCATTGCATTCATACCTTCCCACACAGTGAGATACAACTCAAAGATCCACACACAGTCTTCTTTTGGCTCTCGGAACAAAAGTTAGAAAAAAAAAAAATTGCTGATTTTTCTTCTTTTTTTCTTCCTGCAGAGCCAGTTTACCGTTCAGTCACTCAGGAGTGTTTATTGAGAAAACTCACACCTACATCAAAATCAAGGCAAATCTGGGATTGTTTGCCACCTGGAATGAGGAGGACTCTTTTCTGGTAGGATCATGGGACTGAACAGAAAAAACTCTTTATGTGTACAAACAGATCAGTCACAGCATTTAAAATCATATGCCTGATATTATGTAAGGTAAACTGTATTTATAAAGCACTTGTCTAATCTTATCAACAACTTGTTGCTTCTATGTGCAGCACCTTTTTATTAATACAAGGCCATCAGGGAGAGTTTGGGTTCAGTGTCTGGTCCAAGGGCAACTCAGTATGCAGACTAGAGCAGATAGGTTTATTAACCCTCTAGTTAGTGGCCAACTCGCTCTACCTCCTTGGCCACAACTGTAGTAGGTCTCCCCCATGCCTGAACCTTTGAGGCAGGACTCTACAAGATGTGGCTCTCTCCCAGACACCATTACGTTATAGCATCAGATCTTATGGTGAGGCCTTGAATGAATCCAGCTTGTTTTTCCAGCTCATCTCACAGACGCTTGGTTGGATTGAGAACTGGGAAATCTAAAGGCCATCTTGAGTCTATTGTCAAGTTCCCCCAAACCATTCCTGAATCAGTTTCTGCAGAGTGACACGACACAGGGGAAAATCACATGTCCAAGTAACATCCACATAAATGCCAGAATCCAAGGTCTCCCAGCAGAACTTTGCCCAGAGCTACGCACTGTCTCAGCGGGCTTTCTTTCTTGGAGCACCCTGCTGGTATTTCTTCCTGCTAAAGGCACATGGACGTGTATACAGTGTAAAGGAAAACATGATTTCTTCCACTGCTTCATGGTCCAGTTCTGATGCTCATGTGCATACAGTAGATGCTTTTGGCAGTAGACAGTCAGATGGGGACTCTGACCAGTACGTGTCTACACGGCACCATAGGCAACAATCTGTGATGCATTGTGTTCTTGCAGATTTCTGTCACCTAGCCATTATTTTTTCAGTAGCTCTCCTGTGTGACTCGACCACACCAGTCACAGCCATCGCATCACAGCCACAGCCACAGCCACCTTGTTGCTGGTTCACTGGCTGTGCTTCCTTGGACAAATCTTGTAGAGACTGACCACTGCACACCAGAAACATTCCACAAACACATCCTTTGAGAGATGCTCTGACCCAGATGTCCAACCGACACAATTAGCTTCTTGTCCACTTGCTCATATAATCGCCCATCTATCCTGCTTCCAACGCAACACCTTAAAGAAATGACTGCTCACACTTGTCGCTCAACAAAGCCCACTCCTTCACAGGTGCCATTGTAAGATCAACTAATCAATGTTTTATTTTTCAGTGGTTTTATTTTTGCATCTGTGTGTATCTGTGTTTGAATGATGTATTTTTAATCTATTTGTGTGTATGTTTTAATCTGTACTTGTCTGTGCGTGTGTGTCCTCTCAGGTGGAGCTAGATGAGAAATACAGGAACCAAACATGTGGTCTCTGTGGAGACTTTAATGGGCTCCAGCTATACAACGAGTTCTACAGTCACGGTACACTGTGACACATTTGAACATGTTGGCCAGTGATGTTGTGGCCACAGACTTTAACTGTGATATTCTCCTGACAGGGGTAAAAATTTCCCCCACGGATTTTGCCAACTTCTGGAAAATGGACGGTCCAACTGAGAGCTGCTCTGACTACACACAGGAACCAACACAGAGCTGCAACAACATGGTGAGGAAGACAATAAATATGTATGGAAATCATGTTGTCATTGCAGTATCTGGAGAAATAATGTAATACTGGCACATACATTCTCAGCAAAAGTTTGTTGAGAAGTATTAACCCAAAATATAAATAATGAAAGCTCATGTACTGAATACTATCATGTGTCCTTGTTCACCACGCTCGTACAGAGGGTGTGTGGGGCCTCATCAGCCACAAAGCTGCAATTTAAGTTTTCCTGCAAATAACATTGTATCAGAATGCACCATGTTCATACTTGAGGTCTCACAAACTTGTGTTGTGCATGTAGTTCCTGAGAAAAAGAAAATGTGGACACATTTCAGCACATGTTGCTATGTTACCATCTGTTTATCAATGGTAATTATGTGACAGACGGACTGTGTATCACATGAAACATTTGGAATTAGCAAAAGCTTCATTTCACCCATTACTGCTGGTTACAGGACAGAGCAGTTACACTATGGGTTCAGGCTTGATCAGTATTGTAATATTGTCCTTAACTGTTTTAACCAAACTGTAAAATATTAGGCCCTGTATCTTCTTTCAGTCTGTATAATAATATAATAATCGGACAAATACAGTATCATTTTTTACTAAAATTGCCGTTGTAAATGTTCTGACAGTACATTGTTGATTTTCGTTTTATACATTGCGATGTAACTGACCATATTACCTCCTTATATACACAGGACTTAGAGTCCTTCATTGGTTTGTCAGATGTTGGACACTTTATTGCATTGTTTCCTTAATAACTACATATATGGTGAAATATAATAAAAATATAGTTAATGGAATGACTTGAACAACATTGTTAGTAGTAAACTATGAGCCCGTAAAGATTGGCTCATAGTTTAGTCTTCAGTAACTCTACAGGTTATCCCTGGACAATATGTTCAACCTTTTGTCGCAATTTTGACTGAAGTGGGGCAGATGTGTTTAATCTTGCACTTCTATTGCCTTGCCTCCTCTGTGTCCATCCCTGTCCGTCTGTCCGTCTGTCTGTCTGTCTGTCTGTCTGTCTGTCTGTCCGCCTATCCATCCGTCTGTCCTGCAGAAACCTCTGTGTGAGCAGATCCTCACAGGGCCGGCCTTCAACAGCTGTCACAGTCTGCTCGACGTTGACGCCTTCACCTCTGCCTGCAACACTGACCTCTGCCAATGCGGCAACGGCATAGATGAACATGCAGACCCTATCTGCCTGTGTAACACTGTGTCAGAGTTCTCCAGACAGTGCGTCCATGCTGGTGGCAAGCCCCACAACTGGAGGACCAAAGAGCTCTGCTGTGAGTGCTCTCATCACACACACACACACACACACACACACACACACACACACACACACACACAC